CCGAAAGCCCGTTTCGGGCCGGTGGCGACAATGATAAAAAAAAATGTATTATAATACAAAATTAATTTATTTATAAATAATTTATTTTAAAATATTAAAATTTATCTCATAAATAATTATAATAAAATAATTAAATTAAATATACAGTTAAAAAAAATCTGAAAACTCTCATCATCAATAAATTTGTATTTTATACATAAGAGTTTGTTCCGAAATGAACACAAATAAAATAGATAAAAATTCAGAAGCCTATATTGGGCCGGGCTGGAGAGGTCCATATTTGAATCCGCCCTCGTCCCACTCCCACCCTGACGGTGTTGCCTCTTGCACCCGCAGAGGCCAGCCGAAATGCCGATTTTGCTGCATCTCCTTCCTTGACTAACGACCAAACCTTAGCTTAGGGTAATCAAATCAACAGCGTCACCCTTCTTTCTTCACCAATCGTGGCACTTTCACATCCTCTCTCTCTCAAATGCATTAAATTAAAAACCATTCCCATCCCATTCCACGCTCCATGCGCTCCGCAATGGACTTCACCAGGCTCTCCTCCCCTAAACCTTCCCCCATCTTCACACGCCCCCTCACCTGGGTCACCTCCACCGCCCTCTGCCACCACCGCCGCCACCTGCCCCCGCCTCTACCACCACCACCGCCGCCGCCGCCTCACCCCGCTCCGCCGCCGCCCACCCAGGCGCCTCTCGCCTTCCTCCCTTCCCTTCTCTCCGGCAAGGTTCTAGATTCTTCCAAATGTAAATCCATTTTGCCCCACTTGTCCCCCCACGAATTCGATCGCTTATTCTTCTCACTCCACCACACCGTTAACCCCAAAACGACACTCGCCTTCTTCCGTTTCGCCAATAACCATTTCAACTTCCGCTTCACCCTTCGCTCCTATTGCCTCCTTCTCCGCTCGCTCCTCGCCTCCAATTTCTTGCCGCGCGCCAGGTTCTTCCTCACTCGCTTAATCGACGGCGACATTCCGACTTCGTTTCAAGACCGCGAGACGAGGCTCTGCGAGATAGCTTCCTCAATGTTGGAGCTGAATCAGGTCACGGGTAAACGACTCGGCGAATTGGACTTGTTGCTTCACACCCTCTGCTCTCAGTTCAAGAGCTTCGGGTTCCGCTACGCGTTTGATATTTTCATCATGTTTTCCAAGAGAGGCGTTTTTCCGTGCTTGAAAACGTGCAACTTTTTGCTGAGCTCGTTGGTGAAGGCCAATGAGCTTCACAAAAGTTACGAAGTGTTTGATGTTACTCTTCAGGGTGTTGCGCCCGATGTTTTCACGTTCACCACCGCGATTAACGCGTTCTGCAAGGGAGAGAGGGTTGGGGATGCTGTGGATTTGTTTTGCAAGATGGAGGGGTTCGGTGTTTCGCCGAATGTTGTTACTTATAACAATGTGATTGATGGGTTGTGCAAGAGTGGGAGGTTAGAAGAGGCGTTTCGGTTTAAGGATATGATGGTTAGGAGCAAGGTGAATCCGAGTGTTGTGACTTATGGTGTGCTCATCAATGGTTTGATGAAGTTGGAGAAGTTTGAGGCGGCGAGTGAGGTGTTGGTGGAAATGTACAACAAGGGTTTTGCTCCCAATGAGGTTGTTTTTAACGCTCTTATTGATGGGTATTGTAGGAAGGGGAATATGGTTGAGGCATTGAGGATTAGGGATGAGATGGTATTGAAGGGCTTCAAGCCTAATTCTGTTACTTTTAACACTCTTTTACAAGGTTTTTGCAGGAGGGATCACATGGATCAGGCTGAGCAGGTATTGGGGTACATATTGTCAAGTGGGTTGTCTGTGAACATGGATGCATGTTCTTATGTGGTTCATCGGTTGTTGGAAAATTCCAGGTTTGATTCAGTTTTAAAAATTGTTAGAGAGTTGTTGTCGAGGAACATCAAGGCTAGTGATAGCTTGCTAACCCCGTTGGTCTGCGGGCTTTGTAAATGTGAAAAACATTCGGAGGCAATTGAGCTTTGGTTTTTGCTGGCTGGTAAAGGGCTTGCAGCCAATACAGTGACCTCAAATGCGCTTCTCCATGGACTTTGTGAACGAGGGAACATGGAGGAGGTTTTTGAAATGCTCAAACAAATGCTTGAGAAAGGTTTTTTGCTGGATAGGATCTCGTACAACACACTTATTTTTGGCTGTTGTAAATGGGGTAAAGTTGATGAAGCTTTCAAACTCAAGGAAGAGATGGTCCAGCAAGAATTCCAACCAGATACGTATACGTACAATTTCCTGATGAAAGGGTTGGCTGATATGGGTAAAATAGATGATGTTCATAGGCTTTTACGTGAGGGAGAAGAATATGGCCTGGTTCCAAATGTCTATACATATGCACTTTTATTAGAAGGATATTGTAAAGCTGATCGGATTGAAGATGCTGTGACATTGTTTAAGAAGTTAGTTTATGAAGAAGAAGAGCTAAGTTCTGTTGTTTATAACATACTTATTGCAGCCTACTGTAAAGTTGGGAATGTGACGGAAGCCTTCAAATTGCGTGATGCTATGAAAAGTGGGGGAATTCTACCTACCTGCACCACATATTCTTCTCTGATACATGGAATGTGCTGCATTGGCCGTGTGGATGAAGCCAATGAAATTTTTGAAGAAATGAGAAATGAAGGCTTGTTTCCAAATGTATTTTGTTATACTGCTCTAATTGGAGGTTACTGTAAGTTAGGTCAGATGGACAAAGTGGGGAGTATCTTACTGGAAATGTCCTCAGACAATATACAACCTAATAAAATTACCTACACTATTATGATTGATGGGTATTGTAAATTGGGAAATATGAAAGAAGCTACGAAACTTTTAAATGAGATGATAAGAAATGGAATAGCACCGGATACCATCACTTATAATGCTTTGCAAAAAGGATATTGCAAAGAAAGGGAGGTAGAAGTTGCTGTACAAAGTGATCATATGTCTAACACAGGACTACCCTTAGAAGAAATTACGTATAACACATTGGTTCAGACGTTGCATCCACATGCAGCACTTACCAATAAAGAATGATGAGGAAACTTCTCAAACATTTGATGCTTATTTGATACCAGGGCTTATACGGTTGAACCTTCCATTGTTTAGCATGAAGCTAAAAAGCTTGTTATTAGGAAGATGAAGGTTTTGCATGCTTGATCTCTAGATGTGCAGATGCTTGGCAACAACTAAAGCAGCATACTCTTAACTTGGCTTGCTAGTTAAAAATTAAGTCCTGGTTTTCAGAGGTTAGTCATTTAAGATAAATATTTTAGTTTTTTCTTCTTCTTTACATTGCGTTTGTTAATTTTGTTTTTCTTTTTCTTTTTTTATTTGATTTGATTTATGAATTTTTTTTATTGATAATAGTGTTATAGGAAGGTGGCTATATTATGCATTTGTTCCACAGGCAAATATTTTCATTTGGTGTTATTGATGCAGAATGAATAGGATTTATTTAAATAACTTTAGGGTTAATTATGTTTTTTTCTTTTGTTGATTTGGGGATTGTATCCTATTTTTCACAAATTATTGATTCACAGAAATTAGCGTTAGAGGATTGTGACCACCATTGGGTTATAAATACTTATTTAGATGCCCCATGTTATTCATGATTTCGATGTTTTTTTAATTATTGATTAATAGGTGCTTTTCTGTTAAACCCAAGCATTATTCGATCCACATTGTCCTCTCTTGATGTTAAAAGTTTTAATGATAGTCACCATCATGTTCTCTAGATGTTTGATGTTGAACTGTTTCCATATTTCATATTGTTTCTCTTTCTTGGTATTAAAGATCTATTGGTGAATCAATAACTATATCAGTAATGTTACTATTTTGCCAGTACTGTTTTGATATTACATGGGAATGAGTTTGGGACGGTTATTTGTTGAAAATAACTGTCCCTAACTCATTTCCTATGAACATGACTTTGCTTGGTTCTCACGAAGGCCGGTTGGAAGAATTTCAACTTTGAACTCCTTTTGTATGGTGTGCTTATTATTACATTTTTCTTCCAATTTCAAACTCTAGTTCAGAAAAGTTGGACACTGTATCATGCATTGTAAGTGGACTACTTTGAAAATTTTTGTTTTGGAACTTTGGCATGCAATTGGTGTGTCCTACTTTGGAGCAGATTCTCATGATTATCAGATATAAAGGTAGAATTGTCATACATTCAAAAGTGTAGCTCTGTGCTACTTTGTCGATTTCTGGTTCACTAGATTATAGGTATTTACTTTTTCAGTTTTGGAAGATATTTTATCCTCCTTCAGGTGTGCCTTCTGCCCTTATTCTGTAATAAAATTTCTTTTACCATCTAAAAAATCATTTAACAATACTGTATATTGATACTGGATAACATTTATTTAATGTTACATGATAAGACTTATTTACTATTTGATATTTATTTGTTGGTGATCCAGCAGATGTGTGTCGCAATACAGGATATAGTTGCTGCTTAAACCATGTTCCAGGTTATTGCCGATGCATATTTAGTGATCCACTCAAGCTAGTTGCCAACATACCCTGGCATGATTGGAACAAGATGAGTGATATAGTCAAAGGCCAAAGGATCAAATTGATATGTTTCCATCTTCTTTTCTGTTTGTTGTCTGGTGAGGGCACCATAATTGGATAATTTTATTCATATATATGACAAATTTGTGAGCTATGTGCATTTGGTGTTCTTTGGGGATGTATTTATGTTATATTTTCCTGTAGATTTAATCTCTGTCATATTATCTCAGGGCATTCGTTGGATTGCAGACCTTGGGAGTATTGGTGATAACATTAAAGATTTGAAGAACTATCAGGGTCTTCACTAGTAAACACGCAACATTTTAGTAGGTCCTCTAGCAGCAGAGCAAGGAAGAGGATCATTTGTCAGATGTAATGTTATAGCTAAAGCAAAAAATTCAATCTGTCAAATGGTAACATTCTTATTTGGTCTTTAATGTTAACTATAATTTTATATGTTATGTGGTTTCTTCCAACTCGATCTGCCATCACCAACCCCAAAAGTTAGAGAGAAAATAATAAGAAATTCAACAAACAGGCATCCCACCGAAGAAGAATTTTACGATATTTAGGACAGGAAGGAAAGGTGATTTGAAAAAGGATAAAGGAATTTTGCCTAATGCATGAAGACATGGGTACACACTTTCTTTCTAGCTTGAAATGTAGGCATTTACTTTTCCTTGCTTTGAATTTTCCATTCTATTTGTCATTTTTGTGTATATTATCTTATGTATTTATAAATTCATATTAATTTCTTCAGGTATCTGCTGGTGGAAAATAACCGGTAGATTTTCAAGTTTCAAGGTACTCCTACGAGCAAGATAATTAGTAGATTTCCAGAGCAAGATAATTAGTAGATTTCCAGAGTAACATAATTAGTAGATTTCCAAATTTCAAGGTGGTCCCTGCATTTAAAGAACACAGATTTAGATAATTAGCAGTTAACAAAATTACAATTTGGAAATGATGATACTGGCTTACCTTGACTAATGATCTATTGATTCTCCATCTGGTCCCTTTCTGAATTTGGTCCCTTTCTGAATTAGGCCGAGAGAGGACAGAATGAAATATGAAAGAGAAATCTCTCCTAATTGTGCATGTGTAAAAACACCCTTCAAATATATTGTTTTTCCTTCTAACTCAGTTAATGAATAAGTTTTGATTTTGTTTTATTAAAAAAAATATGTTTTTATCATCTAAAATTTTAATTCTTATTATGACATCTTTATTAACTACTTTTATTTTATTAAAATGTTAATTAATCACTTCGAGTCACACACCTTTAATTAAATAGGTTTATATACCATACAAGCCCAAAATTATTTAATTGGTCACTTTCTTTTTAGGTACTAAAATTTTGTTTTGTTATATTTTGGTTCTATAACTTGTATCATTATTATGATCAAATATGTCACCATTAAGATTAAAAATGTCATACCATCAAATAACATTAATCCAACTAAAATGTTTATCATGAATCTTGATTTAAAATTCACTTTAATAATAAAATAAACTATTTTTTTAGTTTTATGTTTTAAAGTATGTTTAATTTATATTTTAAAACTTGTGTTTATTTTATGATAATAGAAAAAGTTGATTATATAACATTTATAAATTAATGAATATAATAATAATTATAACTCAAAAAGTATATTTTTAAGTACACGTGTATTTTTTTTTAAAATTGTGTGGTAAAAAATAGTTTATTATATTATTATTAAAATTTAAAGTTTAAATAAAAATAAAAATCTTTTTTGAAAGGATAATTCATGCATATTTATATTCACTAATATTCACTCACATAGAATATAAACTTTTTAATAGGTTTTATCATAAGTTTAAGTTCAATTTTATATAATAAATAGGATTTTGTGAAAGCTTAAACTTGACTTTTTATTTATTTATTTTTTTTGAAGCAACTTTTTTTTTATTAAATAGATCACATTAGATCAAATTTTAAATAAATCAATTTATAGATTATTATTTAAAGTTTGACCATATTTAACCAATGTGATCCCACGATTATAACTCCAAAATCTCATAGAGAATCACCCCACTTCTTCTTTTTTGTTTTTTATTATTATTACAATTCTATTTTATAAGTATAAGAACAAGTCTTATTGTTACATCTCTTTTCACAAAACTATTTCTAGAAAAATTTAAAATTAATATATCAAAATCCATTTAGAATTAGATTCTAATTAAACATCTATTCATGTTTAGTTTGAAATTTGAAAATTTGTGTAAATGAGATAATAGCGATATATTCATGGGCTAAAATAACAATAAGTAATTTTATTTATAAATCTATTTAATATTTTTATAGTTTCAAAGATTAATGTAACCACATTTGCCATTCTTTTGGACAAATATTGCTATTTATTCTATTTTATTTTATGTCTTCCAAAAATAAAGTCACAAATATAACAAAATATCCAAATTTACAGTTTATCGACAATCATGAGAACTAAAAGATATAATATAAGATAAGATTTCGCTTTTGTTTCTCTTGATGCTTAGGTAGTTTGCTATACATATTTTTCGATAATTGTACAATTAGTATCGAGAAAAAAAATTATCTAATAAAAAATAATAATAATTAGTAACATACAATACTGAAGATTTAGCTATCTTTGTTAACTCTTTTTCTTGCCTTTCATTGAAAAGGTTTTGTGACAATATTATGTAAAGCTAAATTTATTTATTTTTAATTAGTTAGAATTCAACTTGAAATCAATATTCAAAAATTTAAAATAAAAATTTGGTCTTAAAACCTTTAGATAACTTGTTTGTAAATTTTAAAATCTAGCATATTTTAAGTATGATAACACTCAATTGACACATTTTAGACTTAATAAATTATTATGCGATAATAAATCAAAATTTCACCATTGTGATAACAAAATAAATATGATGCAAAAGCAAAAATAAGTATAGAGAAAAGAAATATAACATTAAATTTTATGTGGAAAACCTTCTCACTATGAGTAAGGAAAAATTACGGGACCTAGTTTTGTAAAAGATACACTATAAACATATAATGTTGTTCCTCTTCCTACAATAAATTTCTAAAGAATTTCTCTCCACCTAAATATGTATGGCAAACTAATTATAAGACATTGTAAAAAATAATATACTCTACCAAAAGTCGTTAGTTCGAGTAATTTACACATTTAACTGTTAGGAGCAAAGCGTATAAAGAAAATAAAAGAGAGAGAGAACGACAAAAAGATTTAACGTGGTTTGGCACACAATGTATGTACCTACGTCCACGACTACACTAGGGAGTGTTTTATTACTTTTGGTGTAAATAAAAGTATTACAAGGTGTTAATTATATATAATAATGTGGAAAGAAAAGCCCCTTAGAAATATTAGATGTGGGACTAAATCAAACTACACAATACTAATAATTCTGCCACTTGGAGTTTGATATACATCAATTCCTTGTAAACAATAAGCTCCCTTGCTTTTCACCTAGTGTAGCATCTTCATCATCAATTATCCTCAAAGGTCAGTTGAGGCAATATAAAGCCTTAACTTATTAGTTATGACAGTCTTGGTTAACATATCAGCTGGATTCTCTAATCCTAAGATCTTCAACAAAGACAAATCACTATCACTTATCAAATCTATGATAAAATGATACTTTAATTCAATGTGCTTGCATTTGGAATGAAGGACTAGATTTTTAGCAAGACATATAGCTCTTTGACTATCACTAAACTATGGAGAGTCATCTTGTTCCTTCCCCAATGCTTTGAGAAAGTTCTTCAACCATATCATCTCTCTGGCGGCTTCTAAGATAGCCACATACTTGACTTTAGTGGTTGAGAGAGAAACTCTAACTTGTAGTTTAGATTTCCAACTAACAGTAGTATCGCCTAAGGTAAAAATGTAAGCTATGGTGTTTTTTCTGCCATTCAAATCTCCTCCCAAATCCACATAAGAAAAACCTTGTAAAGTGAGATTATTTCTTTTAAAACACAGGCATGTCCCCAAAGTACCCTTCAAATATGTCAAGATCCACTTCACGCCATCCCAATGCTCTTTTCCAAGGTTAGATAAGAACCTACTCATAACTCCCACTACATGTGCTATGTTAGGTTTGGTACATATCATAGCATACATCAAACTCCCTATTGTAGACACATATGGTACTTTAAATGTATCACTTTCTTCTTCATCTATTTGAGAAGATTTTCTTTTTGAGAATTTTAGGTGAGTTCCCAAAGCAGTATTCTTATTCTTGGCATCTCCAACATTAAACCTATCAAGCAATTTTTTTTATATATTTTCTTGGAACAACTTTAAAGTACCTTCTGATCTGTTCCTAAAGATTCTCATACCGAGAATTTTTTTGGCAAGACCAAGATCCTTCATCTCAGAGCTTTCTTCCAACTGTTGTTTCAACCTATTAATTTATATCATACTTGACCATGCAATTAACAAGTTATCAATGTATAAAGCAAGGATAATATAACTACCAACATACTTAATGTACTACCCGTACCAAAATACTGAGTTCCACGACGGCCCTAAATGCGCCACGCATGCAGGCCCATAGTCGACAAGGCCTATGGCCAATGTTGGGCCACTTCAACCCTACTCTCGCCAAAACGGAGAAAAACCTAAAATCACCAAGGTACACCTGCTATAAATACGAGACATCTACACTATCAAGAACTAACTTTAGCATTAGAGTCTCTTTGATAGAACTCTCTTGAAGAGGATTGATGTTCTTCAAGAATTTCCACCTTTAATGACCTTTGCTGCTTGATGTTGAACACTTGATGATGGCAGAAGCTCCGTGAAGACACCTCCAATGGAGGAGTGTCGCCACCGGCCCAAACGGGCCTCGGCGG